TTCATATAATTGACAATGAACAAAAAGCCCTAATATTGGTAATATAACACATTATAAATTATAAATCAAATACCCAAAAGAGACAGTGGATCTATGCCACTAAGCCTCTGGGACTCCTCCACGTGTCACTCGTGGCTCTTCTCCTGAAAATTGTTAACCACATAATGAGACTCAAAAGTCTCAATAACCAAAGCCAATTTATGATAGTGTATACAAACAGTTAAGTGTGTGTTTACTAAGTGGGAATCAAAAATAATATAATCTCAAAAAATATAAGAAATATTACAATATACACAAATAACCATCTTTATATCCCTCCATTAACCTCGAGCCGTAGCCCTCACTCGGTGCTAAATTACCAGGCCAAAGGTAGATTAACCCGAGCCCTTACGAGCCACCTATTAAGCTTCAATAGGGGCGTACCACGTGGCACATAAATACAACAACAATAGCAAGTCTCCCAACACCTCCCACAATAATCAAACAAATTCATAATAATATTGCACAATTATACAATATTACAAAATTCATAATTTTCTCAATAATCACCCAATTAACATGAAGTAACACTAATTACAAATTAAAAGCATGGTTACCTCGTGGCTTTTTCAATAAATTATTCCTTACAATTTCTCTCCCACCACAATCTTCACCAATAATACAATCTACAAATAACATATTATTTATAAAAATTAGTTTTAATTTTTGAAACTAATAAAATAATTCTAATAATAGAATTAAAAATGTAACATAATTCCTAATCTCAATTTTAATACAAATTTAGAGTTAATACTATTACGTAAAATTTTTAACTCCTCTTTTACTCATCAATAAACATTAATAATCTAAAAATCAAATTTTAAACTAATTTCTATTATCAAAATTTTCTTTTTATTTTATAAATTCGCACCTAAAATACTCAAAAATTAAAAATTAAGTCTCTAGCTTAGAATCATAATCCTATAGCTGTAACATCCCAATTTAAATTTTTATAGTTAATTTTGATTAATAGAAATTTTAAAAAAATATTTAGAGGTAAGCAAATTAGTAGAAAATAATTATTAAATCTAACTTAGGATATAATTCTAAATTAATTTTTTTTAAAAAAATTATTAATAATTAATTAATTAAAAATATTATTATTAAAATATTATTATTATTATTATAATAAAAAAAGTATGAGAAATAAGGAAAGAAAGAAGAGAACAAGATGGCTTTCGGTGCTCTTCCCCGGTGCAATGATTATATTTATATAATAATAAAAAAAAGAAATAAGAAGAGAGAGGAAATAATTAAAAAAATGTGGGACCCACAGTATTTTTTTTAAAACCCATCCCTCCTTCTTCGTTTCTTCATTTCTCCCTTTTTCATTTCTCTTCGTGCGCGAACAGAGGGGGCGACGGTGTGCAAGTTCGCCGGTGCAGGGTTTTAAGGTAAGAGTTTTTAATAGGATATTTAGTGTGTGATTTTAAGTTTTTTAAGACTAAGTAAGTGTTCTAAAATTTTTTCTTAGTCATTCTTCTTCTTTGGTTTCTGATTTTGTAGTGATAAAAAATTTAAGATCTGGAAGAAGAATGAATTTATGTTGAATAAATATGGTTTTTGAGGTTGTTAGTGGTATAATAAATATTCTAGAGTATAAATTTATTGGTGATCTTTGAATTTGTGGCTTATGGATCAAATTCTAGACTAGATCTGAAAATATATGTTGATTTATTGAGGTTTAGATGATTATTTGGGATGAAAAATGAATTATTATGGCTATAGGATTATGATTCTAAGCTAGAGACTTAATTTTTAATTTTTAGGTATTTTAGGTACGAATTTATGAAATAAAAAGAAAATTTTGATAATAAAAATTAGTTTTAGAAGTTGATTTTTAGATTATTAATGTTTATTGATAATTAAAAGAGGAGTTAAAAATTTTACTTAATAGTATTAACTATAGATTTGTATTAAGATTGAGATTAGGAATTATGTTATATTTTTAATTCTATTATTAGAATTATTTTATTAGTTTCAAAAATTGAAACTAATATTTATAAATAATATGTTATTTGTAGATTGTATTACTGGTGAAGATTGTGGTGAGAGAGAAATTTTAAGGAATAATTTATTGAAAAAGCCACAAGGTAACCATGCTTTTAATTTGTGATTAGTGTTACTTCATGTTAATTGGGTGATTATTGAGAAAATTATGAATTTTGTAATATTGTATAATTGTGCAATATTATTATGAATTTGTTTGATTATTGTGGGAGGTGTTGGGAGACTTGCTATTGTTGTTGTATTTATGTGCCACGTGGTACGCCCCTACTGGAGCTCAATAGGTGGCTCGTAAGGGCTCGGGTTAATCTACCTTTGGCCTGGTAATTTAGCACCAAGTGAGGGCTACGGCTCGAGGTTAATGGAGGGATATAAGGATGGTTGTTTGTGTGTATTGTAATATTTCTTATATTTGTTGAAATTATATTATTTTTAATTTTCACTTAATAAGTACACACTTAACTGTTTGTATACACTATCATAAATTGGCTTTGGTTACTGGGACTTTTGAGTCTCATTATGTGGTTAACAATTTTCAGGAGAAGAGCCATGAGTGACACGTAGAGGAGTCCCAGAGACTTAGTGGTATAGATCCACTGTCTCTTTTGGGTATTTAATTTATGATTTATAATGTGTTATATTACCAATATTAGGGCTTTTTGTTTATTGTCAATTATATGAATATATAAATGTAATCATGCCTTTCAAACTATTTCTATTTTTGGTACAATTTGGATGACTGTAATTTTAATATTTAGTTTACTTTGGATTGGTTAAAATGGCATGATTATAAGGCCAAATAACTGACTTGTGTTGAAAATTTATTAAATTGCTTATTTTACTTGTTGGGAGTATAAGGATGGACAAATGTGATTTAGCCTAATGGCATGTGGGAGATAAAAATTTATCTGAAATGTTATAGTATGTGAGTTGAAGCCAATTATAAAATATTTTATATTGAAATTATTGATATAAAAATGTGTTGGGTGGCTGTAACTCAACTATGGTTGAGTTAAATTATTTAAAAAAAAATTTTGGTGTTTTACAATAGCCATAATAATTCATTTCTTATCCCAAATAATCATCTAAACCTCAATAAATCAACATATATTTTCAGATCTAGTTTAGAATTTGATCCATAAGCCACAAATTCAAAGATTATCAACTAATTTATACTCTAGAACATTTATTATACTACTAATAACCTCAAAAACTATATTTATTCAACATAAATTCATCCCTCTTCCAAATTCTAAATCTTCTACCACCATAAAATCAGAAACCAAAGAGGAAGGATGACTAAGAAAATTTTTTAGAACACTTACTTAGTCTTGAAAAGTTTAAAATCACATCCTAAATATCCTATTAAAAACTCTTACTTTAAAAACTCAGATCTCTCGCACCGGCGAAACTAGACGCTCTCTCAGCCTCAGCTCGCGCACAGGGAAGAATGAAGAAACGAAGGAAACAGGTGAGTTTTTATAAAAATTTAGTGGGTCCCACATATTTTTTTTTATTATTTCTTCTTTCCTCTCTCTCCCTTTTTTTTATTATTATATACATAATCATTGTACCGAAAGCCAATCGCGTTTTCTTCTTTCTTTCCTTCCTCTTTCTCATACCTTTTCTTCTTTTTTTTTACAATAATAATAATAATTTAATAATATTTTTTAATTAATTTTTTTATTTTAATTTAGAATGATATCCTAAGTTAAATTTAATAATCATCTCCTACTAATTTGCTTACCTCTAAATATTTTTTAAAATTTTTATTAACCCAAATTAACTATTAAAAATTAAATTGGGATGTTACAGTAATTCCTAAATTAGTCGCAAAACCTTAGTTCAATTTTTAAGAACCTTTTTACTGCCAAAGGTAAGAAACAAACCCCTTACAATTTCTTGATTCAATTTTTCTATAACTTAAACTGAGAGAAATTAGAGTAGAATCAGAATTAAAGGTGATATGAAACTTACTCGACAAGCAACTGGTTCAAAATATCTTCCAAGCTCCTAAAGCTTATTGCCCTAGTAGAGGTGGCCCTTCTCCTTTCGTGTTTCTCCTCTTTCTTCCCTTTGAATTTTGAGCCTGTCTATTTACAAACTTATCTCTTTTCTATGTCATGCACTATGATATATGTAGTGTTAGCCATGGCATTTGACACAGTAAGAAAAACTCTCATTGCACTCACACGCTTTGCTTTGCAACATTATTCTTTCACTCAATCTTATTCATTTAACATCCCAACAAGTCAAAATATCAATTTATCATTCAAAATTTTAATCATACACTAATTAACTAATTTTTTTTAACTAACAATTAGTTTTAAAATTAAAAATTCAAAATATTACAAATCCTATTTGGAATAATTTGGAATAACAATTTTTTCTAAAACTAACATCCATACACTTATTGTTGACATTGGGCCAATTTGATTGACTTGGTAGGTGGATGGGTGCGTAAGAAAGAACCCAAGCTTGTTGCCGACGATAAATTGGATTCGACTTGATCTAATGGCTCTCAACTAATAATAGGACATCATCCCTGGTACATGTACAACCCCACAAGGACTTCATGGGCCATATCTTCACTCTTGAAAAAAAAAAAAAACGCACACTGTTAAATTTTTATTATTTAATCTTTTAAGAACTATACAACTAAACTTACGCTTAATTTAAATTTTCTGACCACTATATAATTTCTCTGGTTTATACATGTCATGTAATTGACTTTCTTACCAAAACAAAATTGCGCATGCATTATTTTTTCTAAAAATTTTAAACATAATAATACCAAATACAAAATAATTTAACAATTTATTTATTTTTTGATAATTTAACAAATTAATTTAGCTGTATAAGAAAAAGCGTCACAGGCCAATTTCCTTCTGATAAAAACCCACTTTGTCCCACTCCCCAAAAAAAAAAAAAAAACGAATAATGAATTCAATTAACCGCTGGCATAATTCATAGGCGTCAATTGATGGTCTTCGATTATTTTCTCTGCGAGTCTTGAATGGTGTTGAATTCAAAGCGAGGACGACTAATATTTCTGGTGGTGTTTGGTTAGCAGTAGCGTCCCACCGAAGTTAATCCAAGGAGGGGCCAAGAATCGGACGGAGGGATAGAGTGAGGGGAAAGCAGGACACGGGATCAATGGGAGGAAGGAGAAGGTCTCTGATTCTGGGACTGGCTTTTCTAATGTTGATGGGAACTGCCGTCTATTTCAGACTCTGGGCCATTGATTATAATGTTTCTTCTGATGATACCGAGCTATTAAGGTTCGTCTTCTTCATCAATTTACCCTCGACATTTTCTTCTACAATCGCTTGACAACTAGAGTTTACATTCATTCGGATCGCCAATTTAATTCAGCTCTTGTGTCAGTTCGGTCTGTCGGAAAGTGTCAATGTTGAGGTGGGAGTTAGACTTAATTGGAACCAATTTAATTCAACTCTTTTGTTCCGTTATAACTATATAATTTTTTGTGTGATTTTTAATTGAATTGTACATATCCTTACGAATCTATTTGAATTATTTGGGGGGAAAAATCGATGACGGTATTGTGAAAATATCCTCTTATTTGCTTGATGGTTATACTTGCAAAGTATTGCTACCGCTGGTTTCTTCCGATGGTGGATTGTTAAACCTATCAGCACAAGTGATTCGCATACTTCCTAAGTTCTGCCGAATTTATCCCAAAACCAAGTGAGGACTTTCATTATAAAGAATAGAATTATGATCTTTTTGGCTTATACTAGATGAATTTCTAAGATTACTTTGGGGATTAAATTTGTGTTTGTCTGTTATGTTGACGATCTTTGAAGTCATTATGTAGTTTCTTGTACAATGAGTTTTCATTCTGTCAAATGTATGCAGACGACAGTTTGATCTAGCTAACAGGGAAGCAATGGATGAATCTGCTGAATGGAGACTAAAGTATGATGAGGAAGCAGGCAGGGCAAGGAAATGTTTTGAGGAACTTCAAGCGGTATGCATTCTTTATTGAATTTTCATTTCTCTCCTTACAATATGAATGATACGATTCTGTTTAGTTTTTCTAAAATTCTGATCGGTACTTAAATCTTCTGGTAAATTGAGGCTATATGCTTGTTCACATCAATTGCTTTTAATAGTCTCGGTTCTTGATGAATTAAACAAGTAGATATTGATTTTTTTTTTTTTTTACAATGTCCTTCTTGTAACTACTTTTCAGTTACGTATGTATGTGGCAGATTAAGGATTCCTCTCTGAAGTTGGATAATGCTTCTAATGTTAATCATAAAGTATCAATGCTGCGGAAGGTACATTTTGATAAGTTGTCAGTTGAGATACACTTTCTTCTGCTTCCGTTATATTCCTTTCTCTACCCTAGAGGAACTAGAACCAATTTAATCGATGTTTCTGTGAACTGCTATATTTTAAGTAGCAATTTAATTGTCAGTTCAATTGTAGTATCAAATCTAATGTTGTCACTATTTTTTATTACAAAAATATATAGTTTGTATTCCATTCCCTTTCTCACTATTTTTAATTTCAATGTGCCTTCCTGAATTTTTTGTTATGCATGGCCTGTATTCTGACATTTTGAATGTACTATGACTTTCTAAATTACCAGGAGATTGCAGTCTTGCTTGAAAGGGTGGAAACATTAAAACGAGAGCTGAAAGAGGAAAAATCGAGGTGTCTAACACAGTCATTATTCTGACGATTAAAAGCTCTGCGTTCAAGGCCATTTAAGCATCAATGATCTACGGATATTTGGAGCCTGCCCTTCGTTTTAAAGTTGACTGTACGGCTTGCAATACCAGATTTCCACCTTAGGGGCGCCAGCAATTTTTTTGATGTTCAAAGAAGAATGACAAGGATGAGGGTGTGAGGCAGGTAGGATCAAGTCTGAGCAAAGTGGCAGCTGACGTGGCTAGTTAAGACATAGCAAAAGCGTTTGAAGGAGCATGTGGAAGGTGAGGGAAAACGCAGGTGCTTAAATGACGTGTGGATGTGGTGGTCAAAGAGGGTGTACATGATTCTGAGAAGTTTCTCTCTCCCTTCTGTTACTTTATCTGAGACTCTGCATGTCCCTTCTTCCTTTGTTTCTGTTAGAGCGTAATTCTCGTTATCCTTCATTGGTGCCCTTGGAGCAAATACAGACTGCACGTTGACATAGTATCACATTATGAGTTACTGAAATACACAAGTATGCATAATCTGATAATATCAGTATCTTCTCACGAAGTATCATGAGAATTGCTGAGCTTAGCACTAACAGAAAGAAAGGAAGAAGGAAGGTATAGAGTCTCAGAGAAAGCAACAGAGACAAACAGCAAGTTTTTTTTTTCTTTTGGGGGGGGGGGCTTATAAGCATGGACACCCTTTTCAAACACTACGCGTCTATTAAGGATTTGCATTTGCCACCACCTTCAACAGGCTCCTTTGAAACCGTTCGTGAAGTCGTAACTGACTTGCCACATTATCTGCCACTTCACTCTGCCTCAGTTCTACCTACCTCATGCCCTCGTCCTTGCCATTCTTCAGTTTTAAGATCACACTTATAGTGAATGTCAATATGAATGCCTAAATAATTTAGGATGCTTTTTATATTCGCCAAACAGAATGATCTTCATTTGCAGCCACAAAGAAAAAATATATTATTTTGTTAGGCTTAGAGTTATTGTCTGATTGATAGCTGTTGACCATCAAATTGTTTTGTTGCACATGATAAGAGTTATTGACTGATTGATAGTTGCATGATAGACTTAGACTGGATAATTTTGTGTGTGGGGTTGGAGGCTTTAACTTCCTTGTTCGTAAGTCTTGGAAACAACCTTACATGTGCTGCTTGAGAACCCAGAATCTGTAGGGCTAACTCTCAGTTCATGAAGAAATCTGGTGACTGCTTCTGCTAGTGCTCCATTGCTTTCAGGTTGGCTCGAGCTAGCAGCCATGCTTGTGCCAGAAGCACTTACTTTTCGACTCTAATGACAATTAAGAGAAAGGGGCAGGCCGATGAATATACATTGCACATATACCATATCTCTGTTAGACAGTTTAAAGATTAATAGACTGCGCAGCAGTGCAAGATATATTACAGCAACCATATATAACAAATCTTACCCTTGTCGACTTTGGTATACTGGTTGGATTGTTCATTATCCCCATCAATTCATCAAACTGAAAAGCATATTATTAGACCAGAAAAAGTATGAGTTGGGTTACTGGAGGAAGATTGAAGATGACGAATAAAAACGTGTTTTTGTTAGCTTCACAGTGTTGAGTCCCAACGGGAAACACTTCTACCTGTTTCACGATCATGTCATACTTCCTTGCACAATTGTAGAGAGATTTATCATCCTCATCTCCGTCCTTGGAAATTATAGCTCTTCGTTGGGGATGTTTGCTGGACATAATGATTCAGATTTGAGGTCACATAAACAGCCAGTTTTCTATGCATAGAGTTGGGTAAGAGCATTACTAATGCGTCTATATATAGAAATGAGGAGGAATTGATTAAAGTCACGCATACGGGTCGGGCAATCGGGTCGCACCCGTCACAAACAGCCTCGTATAATGTTAATGTGAGAGATTCAGTTATGATGTGAGCCGGCTATTCTTGATTTCTGAACATCAGAGCATTGTTCTCGTGTAACTCCTTGTTTTTTCAGTTTCCATTGTCTCACAACTCCTGAGACCGCCCAATATGGCAAGGTTGAAGTCGTAAAAAATAAAAAGTACAAAGTAGAAGTCTAAGTAATTAGGCAACAATTTGTAATAACAAACATGAATGTTTCACAAAATGCCCTCCCAGCAATTAAGGACGAATGATCCCATGCCTTTTTGGTCAAACACCGACTGAAACTGAAGAATCCTGCTCTCGTTAAGTGTTTTTTTTTTTTTAAACTTGTTTTGCCAATCATAATGGGTCTTGGTGATTAGAATTCTATGATGATCAAAAGCTGCCATGATATGACCTTTACCACTTATCCTTTCTTAATACTTGCGGCCACTCATTCATGCGCCACTTGAAAAATAACTAAAAGGAAGAAGAGAAAACCGTCACCGTCAAACATATAATATAACTAGAGGAAAACATAACTGACGAAGTGGTAGTGAAGCCTAAGTCTCTGCAAATGATATAACTGTTCAAGTGCACATCCCACGAGATGAAAGAAGAAAGATAGATAGTGCAGTCATGAAATGAATGGTAAAACTGCTTAAGGGCCACGCAGGAGCATTTACATTGAGATATGTACCTGTAAAGCGCCATCACAAATCTTCCATTACAAGAAAGAATAGACCAGTAGCGTCCGTGGGACGGTCGGTCGTGCTACTTGATTACCTGAGCAGCGTTCATGTCTTTTACTACAATAAAATCATTTTTATTGTTCTAAGAAGGTTCAAAAAATGGTGATCATATGCATCAATAATTTTTACTCTTGAATTCATTTTTATAAATTAATTTTTTAGTTTTACTTGTTATATAAATTTAGTATAGCAGAAGAAGTAACACATGATTAACTTTAAATTTATAACAAATAACTTGGGGGAAATTTTGTTGAAGACGTAAAAAGATTGATATTTATAATAAAAGGTTTTAGAAATGATTTTTTTTCAAGATACCAACTGACTTTGTCTGTGTCTCATTTTCAAAGTTTTCTCATGTGATTTCTTCATCTCTTCTTACTCTCACAGCGCTCTCTTTCTTTTCCCTCTCATGCCAAAGTTCCGTGGGTACTCATCTCTCTGCACAAGTCCATCTTGCAAGAAGGAAGAATCTTCACTTTCAAGAGGTGAAGCATCCCTCAGTCTCTCAGAATAAAGTAGGTAATTTCAATTGAATCAATGAAAATCTTAGCTTTAAAATCCTGCAGTACATTCAATGTCAGATCATTATACAATGAAACTCTCACTACCTAATGGTTTTGCTTCCAAAAAAATACTCTCAAGATACTCAGCTTTTTTACTTACTTTACTTCAAACTAGCTCTATGGACTATGGTGAATTCACAATGTTCTCAGGAACTTTAACCTATCAGGTACAATCTTGAGAGTCAATTGTATTAAGAAAAGATTTTAAAGTTGATTCCATCATCACGTGTCAAAGTATTGCTATTGCCATGAATGTCTCGGTTTTGTTTTCTAATTTCTATTTTTATGATGTTAATGTCTAGCATGATAACTTTTTTTTTTTCTATTTTTCTATTTTTCTTCTTTATTTTTAAATTGTATAACTATACTTTACTCTTTTTAGTGTATATATATTAGTTTACTTTTTTTAAAAAAATGAAAATCTCAGATTTTGTGTGTCCTTTGTGCATTGCGTTTTTGCAAACTCATAAAGACACGAAACTTTCTATGTCCAATAGACACACGACAGTGACAACTATTTAATTAATTGTATGTAGATATACGAGAATTAGATGGGTACATTCTAGAAAATAGACATCGAGCATTTGATCAAGTGTCGATATTTTCTTGCAATTTGCAAGTTTTGAATTATAAATTTTATTTCATTGCACTTAACTTCAAAAAGTACCCGAGTCAATAAGAACTTGACCATTATAACCGGCTTCATTTAACCCACTAAATAAGGTAGGTTTGTCCGAACAATTTTGACCCTAACCTAATAAAAACACAGATTTAAATCTCGTTAACGATACACAAATATTGACGATGAGTAATTTACTTGTATCCCTATAGCTCTTCATTGAACTCGAATGATAACAAGTGCATTGTGTGAGTGTGTCCAAGATTGGCTTGTGCAATTTCACAACATATTAACATGACAAATGACAATCATCAATAAAATATATATTTTAAATGACTAATACAAATAAATGAAACCCGTATTACACAACAAGTCATATCTATCGGATCCTCCTACTATTCATAACCCGATAATTTCCTAAAAAAATAAACAATGATAGATTGTTCGTTAAACTAATCATAATTTTGGCACACCTCAAAACCTAACATGAACCTTTCACGACCAGGGGTGAAAAATATGAAGCTCAACTCAATTGAATATTAAGATGACATGTAATAGTTGCTAAATCTCCAAAAGGTTACTAGCTGGAATATTTTTGGATTGTTTGACTGCTGATCAAAACAAGAGAAAGAAAGCAGTAAGTTCCAAACATTAGTGCTAATATTTTGATTCGAGGATCTCAAGCTCAAGGAAAGTTAAAATTCATGTTGAGCAATTCACAGCTGATGTTACCACGTTATCACTGTGACATGAACCTGACGTGCGTATTATCATGACTTGTAAACACAACTTTTTCCAACGAAACATACAACGTAGAACATACATTGTCCAAATTTTTCTTGTCCTCAATACATCGTCCCGATTGACATCTCCCTAATCTTGTTAATACACGAACCAAACTCTTGAAGGGCTCGGCTTTGTTTAAAACGTGCTCGGACCTCCAAAACATGGTTTGCAGGCCCAAAACCACGTTTAAGTATGTAGCCCCAAGACAAGTCTGAACGAAATTGATATTCTCTCAAACTGCGTTCTGCCGTGAGCATTAATGGGGCTGTGGCGAGATCATAGAAACATGATTTGTATTGCCAAAACCATTTTAAAACTAATATTAAAGCACTAATCACATTACGATTAACTTCAACTCAATTCTAATCAAGATTTTATCAGGAATCATATCTATAAACTCTAATCCAAAACTTTTATGCAAGTTTGAATGTACTTTTTACAGACAATTGATGTCGCGAAGCCTAGCCCCAAAATCCACCAGAAAGTAACAGGAGGAGGCAAAGGTTGAAACTTGAAAGAGGGCAAAAGAGACATAAGCAATTGGCAATTATCAGAGATTTGGCCAATCACCATTAGATCAGACTGCAGACATGTAAAAACCAGAAGCGAGTAGCATACATAGATACATTATTCCAAACCAACGAGTCTTGCGTATACCAGAATACATAAATTACAGTTACATCCGAAACATCGATGCTACTCCCAGCGCTTAGCCACATAAAAGCCCTGAAACAAAAAGAAAACAGTTTTACCATAATGCAAGACCACGAAAAGAAACATTATTTCTTAATTAATTTTTATTAAAAAAAAAAGAAAAAGCAAGTGCAGGTGTTTCAACCACGATACGCGCGCGCGCGCGCACATTCTTCATTATGCATGCCACAGATGCAATGATAAGAATTCAACCATAAACATGAGGAATGCGCATCCCCAAATACGCAATTAGCAATGGCACCAAATATTTCTTTCACCTTAAGATTGATGACCACAGAAACTTGGAAAAATGATAACCTAGTTAATCATGTAATCATTCTGATTATGTGTAAAGAATGCCGAGTTCAAAAAACTACGACTGAAATCAACTCAAAATCTCACGTCAGATTCCTTGAATGCCATAGAAAGGTCAGCAGTAACTCCCCATAAAGTAACATCAGGATATTATAAAGCTTCTACATATCATGGGGCATATTTGTGACAGTACAACAAAGTATGCTTGTTGCAGTCAACTTCCCCAATGCATTCAGTAAAGTGCCTCCAGCTAGATACTAAGAAAAACTAATTAACAGTAGACCCTTAGGTGTATAGGTTATAGCCTTCTAGGGCCTGAAGAATAAAACTTAATAATATGAACATCCACACATTCCAGGGCAATAGAAATCCACTGAAACAGTGTCAACGTCTCCTTATCTTGCCAAGCACTCAACAGCTACCATGACTTGATTTAAAAAAGGGAAAGAATTGTCCTAGAAGCAGGGACACTGATATGAACTTGACAAGCACACAGCGTCCTGCCTCATATATTATGAGGCCACAATCACACTAAATATCATCCCATCAACTTGCCCGGTTCAATTACCACAAACACAATGATGAACTATAGTCTATAACTACAAAAGCAAGCCAATAACTTGAAAAAGACAACTACCAACAATAGTTTAATCTTTTTTGTTCCCTCTTGGGGCCCCAGCCCTGGCATAATCCAATAAATATCACTTCTGAGCACGCGAAAAGTTTTAACAAATAAATATAATTTCTGAGATGTAATTCTAACGACAAAGATAAATTCGAAGTCACATACAATATGTCCAGAAGCAAAATAATGGAAACACTGCAATTGTTCTAACAAAAAAAAAAAAATTGTCGAAGCCCTCAATCCACAGTATTAACCATTGGAATCAAACTGATCAAAGAGTTCCGCAAAATAAAATTGACTTGTTCTATTATCGGTCAATGATCCGACAAACGGGGCTTACAAACATATTTGCGCCTACGGAAGTTCCAGTATCACTGATCATCGACTTCCTAAACATAAACACAACAATTATGAAGAAACTCAAAGTTCACCATAACGAAATAGTTCACACAACATAAAACTTTTCAATTGTCGCATTAAGACCCACGACACAGAACAGAGACAGGACAATTAAGCGAAAGAAAATATGAGAAAACGAATGCAAAGAAAAAAACACCTCAATTGTAGTAGAGTTCGAGGCCCATGCCATCGTGAATCTCGTAATCTTTCAGGGTGATATGATCCTTGTAAATGGTGTACCACTTCTGAATGCGAATTTTGTCAGCTCTGGTGCCCGTCTGCGCCGCCACCAGCTTCTTCAGGTCGCCTATTGTGTCATCGTCGTTGCATTTCACCCTCACCTTCTTACCCAATCGATCGTTTAACACGACCTCGATCATCTTCGACTCAGTCGCCAAGCCTGAAACCCTAATTCCCAATAATTTGAGATTGCGAAATACAAGACGACTCCAAAGCAACGCCTGGCATTTATATAGCGAGGAGGAGTTTTAGATTTTTCAGGATTCCTTGCGTAGCGGGTTTCATGACATTCTTTCGGCCAACTTGTGAAGTGGGCTTTAGAGTCGGTGGCACAGGCCCAAGATATGGTGCGACGCTATTTTGACCTTGCCTCGTCACACCCGACCGCTTCGGATGATATTTTCTCCAAAGAAGTATACAACCGTTCATTTAAGATTAAAAACAAATTATTTATCGATGATTTAAAGATTTTGTAAGAAAATATTTATCTTGTAAAATTTTTATAAAAAATAAATATTATTTTATATTACATAATAATAATAATAATAAATAATTATTAATTATTTACTCTTTATATTTTATGCTATTTTTATTGATCATTTTTTTATAAAAATAATTTATTATTTAATTTTTTAAAAAAAATTTATAATATCTTCATGTCTCCTGATTTTTTTACAATATTTTCTTTCGTCAACTACATCAGGTTATTTTAAAAAACTATGCAAGGTAACATATTAGAATAATCAAAAACAAATTTTTTTAAATTCTAATTATTTTTAAAAATTTAAAAAATCATAATAACAATTCATAAAATATTTTTTAAAAAAATTATTTTTTTCATATAAAAAGCTCCAACAAATGGGCTCATAATATGTATCCTCATACCTTAGATTGTTGTTGATAATAACAGTATTTTATAATAAATATTTGAATTAATCTAGATAGGAGATGATGATATCTCCAATTTTACAACAATAATTAGCAATATAATTAAAAAATGGTAAATTTTAATTTCACTCACCGAGATTTTTGTCAAAAAAATACAGTCGTCGTAAACTTCTGTATACCTTATATTATTTTCTCTTTTATATTGGTATATCCTTAGTCTCCATACTTGAAATACGATATGTGTCATTAATTTTATTTCTCATTTATCTTCAATTTATGATATTGCTCATATTGGGTATGCGAGTATAATTGATACGATTATTATTCTTAAAGATAAACTACCAATCATAATTCACTTAAATATGTAATTTTATTTGTAAATATAAATTCTCAAATAATGTTTACAATTTATTAAACTCAGTAAGCATAATGTCTGTGTATCGCTACTAAAAAAATATTGTTAACACTTAAACTGACATCTGAAAAATATCAATATATAAACACAAATATCGTGTTTATATCGTCGTCTTCCATTTTTGTTCCCCCATTTCTGTGATGCCGGTGTCCTTTATATCAAGAACCTCATTGCATCAATCCCACGATTAAGTTATGGAACCTGTGTATGAGAAGAAAACTCGAAATATAATAAAGAAAACGGAAACAGAGACTTAACTGAAAAGCGAAAATTTTATTGCAAATTCAAATTATAAAAAACACTACACAACTAACTTTTTAAAAAAAAAATAAAACAAGCTACAAACTTTTTGGAAAATCACTCCAAGGTCTCTTGCAGGGATTCCAATTAAATGCTATGAAATGTGCAAAATACCCTCAACTCTCAAATCTATTATTTTAACTACATTTTGTGTTAAATTACTAAAATACCATTGTTTTACATTTCAAAAAAAAAAAGGCTTCCCGCCATCAACCACTAGAGCTTTGGTTGACTACTGAATAACAAGTAATTTATGATATGTTTAGATAACATTTCTACTTAAGTTGAGGTGGTTAAAACTTAGTTTGGGATGTTAAAAGCTTATAAAATCTTGTTTGTATTTAAAAAAAAGATAAAAAAAAAACTGAAACAAGCATTAGGGTTTAGATGGGAGTTTTTTACAGTATAGCTTTTATATCGACTGTTGAGATGGGCAGTAAATGTTAGAAGAACAATTAATGCTTTTAAAATTTTTTTATCAGGCTTACCTTGTAATGGAGTTTGATTTTTCCTTTGCTTTGCTTCACCTCCTTCTCCTTTGCTATACTATTTTTGACCAGAGATCGTTCCCGCTGCCCCTATATGATCTCGACTGTGTGTGTTGCTCATATGCAATGGTGCTTGCCATTGTCCCTTCTTCTTGCATCTCTTTTTTACTGAAGCTAGTTCGATCACGAGCAAACCATCAAAGAGAGTGATGTGCAATTTGGGAAAAATTTCCTTGAGAAAAAAATTAATGGATCTCAAGAGTACGAAGGCAGAGCAATAGTTGATAATGAAGCTTAGAAGCAAAATCCATGGAAGAACCAAAGGAAGAACTTCGCCGACATGACAATGAAACTCAAAACAAAAGGAAAAGAAGAAATAGGAGAAGAACCTCACGGCTTTTTCTAAAGAGAGAAAATTCTCCTCTATCACATGTAATTTTAGATATTTAATATTTGACATTACATATAACTAAGTTCATTTACTTTTTAATAATAACATATTTAAAAGTATTTTTATTTTATTTTTGTCAAACTAAAAACTATGCATAATTAAATTTGAGCTATATAGGCTAGCACCTTAGAGAGAAAGAGAGCGCGCTCTAAATCATTTGGCATTGAAAGATTTTTGAATTTATTTTAGAATTGAATATTTTGAATTTTGTCGTTACATTCTAAATTTTTAAAAATCAAAATTTTTTATATCAATGTATTCTATATTTTTAATCCACTTTTTAAAAAATTTTAATTTTAAGTTTTATTTTTCCCTAAAAGTATTAAATTAGTCATAAAAATATTCACAAGAAAATATATATTCATTTTTGTCATTATACATTTAAACTAGTTTTTGAATTAAATCATTTAAACAAATTTTATTTTGTCTAACTGACTCTTGAAAAAAATATTCAAACATCAATTACGTTGAAGTCGTGAACTTTTTTTTTTTTTGCTAATATCAATTTGCTAAACCTCAGTTGGGTCCTACTCCCTTCGTCCCTATATATAAGAGGTCTTCTGCAACCTTTTTTTAGTCCCTAAATATACGAGATTGTTAGCATATTTTTTAATAAATAGACCATTATACCCTTATTAAATTAAAAAAAAGATAAGTACTCCTACTAATTTACTTTAAAAAAAAGATTCATTTTTTATTTACAACAATTAAGAGTAAAATTAAAATATTGTTGTGCTTTTAATTAGATAATTAACTTTTACTGGTTTGTGTAATTTGGTTAGAAACATTTTATATCTGGGGATAGATGGAGTAACTAATCTGACTTATTTATTACACATTTTTCCATGCTAATTAGACTATTAATAATGTGTTATTATCTCAAAGTGCACACATATTGTGTTGAAATTGAAAATTTACCTAAGTGCCTAGATTTTGTACAATAGGAGTATTTTGATTAAAAAATAAACTTTTTAAAAATATATAACAAAAATTGACAAAGTGTATTTCAAGTGCAAAAAAAGAGTGGTCAGATTAGCTTTTACAAGTTTATTTTAGTTTAAGAGTAATTAAATAGAAGTCAACACTTTTCATGACTTTTTCAAATGTGTTCATTTAACTTAATTTTGGGCTTGCATATATTTATGAATTTTGGATAGCTTTGTGTACCCATTACTTTGACAATAATTTTTCCTTTCTAAATATGAATGCAATGTTGCACTTTAATTAGATTTTAAGACATCACATTCTATTAAATTGAATATTTTGTAATATAGGTGAGATGTGCACATGTGTATCAATTAGGCATGCATGTCTAAGCTTCACGGAGGGAGATGCTGACTAGGAGCCATTTGCTACAGTTGGAGGGAGTATACCCAGACAAATTGTTGATTATGCATGGAGTTAAATTGATACATTTTGAAATCATCTACAAGCGAATGAAAACATGCCACTTTGTAAGTCTCTTTTATGTGATTTGAATCCAATTACATTTTTATTTTATTTTCTTTTATTTTAATCAATTAAGAGCTGAATCAAAACCATTCTACACGTCCTTTTGAAGATGAAATGACATCAAAGCTCATTCCCATTTTATTCTCTTATTTTTTTCTCGCTTGTTCATAAGTTCTTCACTTTTTCCTTCATCAAACCTCTTAGTCGCCTTCATTTTCTCCACAATTTCCCATACAAATCACAGAACACACACCATTCTCTCCCTCTTTGTTAGTCCAAACCCCCGCACTTTTCCATGGTCATGGATTTTAGCCAAGATGAGAAGATGATGAAGACCATGGAGATAAGGATGAGAGGTTAGGCACTTTAGAGAAATCATAGAGAGTGGAAGATGAATCATGAATCATGAGCTCTATACAACTAAGCTTTTCTAAATTCCTAACTATTCTCTTTTAACTTGATGATTAGATACCTTAGTTAATGATTTAATTATCATGGCTTTATAATTCTAATTTTAATTTAGTTCTTGTGTAAAGAGAATATGATTGTGACATTAAATTCTCTCTCATTTATTCGTGGTAAGGTTCAGCCACCCTTATGAATTATATATAATCTTGTATTTTTCATTTGACAAATGGCTTGCTTTGATTTCACATAGTCTTGTGAGGTTGATACTTGGCATTAGCATAGTTTTACATAGTCTTGTGATTGCTCAATTCTTGCTTTGGCCATGGCACTTGGGAGGGAGATTTAATTATCACACTTGTCAATACTTGCACTAACTGGGGAAATGAACTAAGGGCTTTAATCCAAGACTTAAAAAATTGAATTAGTTCAGTTAGATGGTTTATGATAGTTGTTTTAGGCTCAATATAATTCGATTAAGGGCAGTTTTAAAGCATTAATTAGCTTGATCATCAATAAGATAAGGTTTTAACATCAACAAATCACTAAGGTTTCAATTCTTTAAAAAGGAATTTCAATCCACTCAGTTTAGCCTAGATTTTACTGTTTGTTTAATAGGTTTTTAATTCGAGCAACATTAACCGCTTAATGTGCATATTTTCCATTGACAAGTCATACAACATGAATAACAACTACCTTATATACCATTTATTATTAAATTCTATTTTACCAACCTTGTCTCTCTAAGTTTAATATGTATGTATATATGTATGCAACTTCTATAGTTTAGTGATTTATATTCTTTT